AGATAAATATCTGTCCGTCTGGCAGAGAGCCCTCTTCTACCCTTTTGGGAGCTGCCACTTCTCCTTATGGATGATCCTGATCGCCAAGGTTTTCTTATTTTTTTGTCCTTGTCTGTTTCATTTAAAAAAATATATGTTTATCTTTGACATACATTCTACTGAGATTAGACAGAGCCTTTCTTGAAACCTACTATCCATTAAATAAATGAATACCGTTCAAAGCTCCATAATCTGGGCCAAGTAAGTGATAAATTTGTGTGTTCAGGGGTTTCGTATGATAACACAATCTTTTGGATTCAGGCTGTAAAAACTTTGTAACCTGTTTGGCTGCATTTTAAAAAAGATATCAACACAGTTATATGGACACAAGATAAATGAGGATCTTTTTGAGCTGTAAATCATGTGAAGCTACTCTATAGGTGTCCCAGACTAATACAATTACTGGTGAAAATGTCCACAACAGGTCTCCACTGCGATTCTTTCCAAAGCCTGGGGTGACAACTTTGATTTAAGAGGCTGGTTACACATTACACATCGCAACACACCTTTGTCGTGACTGGAAGGTTTCCATGGCAGCATCGACCATCACAGGCACCAACTCTCCACTTTATTGGCCATCTAACATTAAACTTGACCCTAAGTGATATAATGGACGTCATTCTTTGTTGAAAAAGACTTGGAACAAACAATTGAGACTATTAAAGTATAAATGGAATATTTGAAATAAAAGAAAAAAATAATCTAGGGTCATTTTCAATCCAGCACCATGATCCTTTTCCGAAAGCTGGTGATTTATTTTATTTTTCTGGTAAATGACGATTTTCATAAATAATAAGGTTAAAAGACGAAACAGACGAAAACATGTATCTGTTTGTCTTATTGATTTTAAATTGTTTTAATCCCTTTTTTGATTTTTAGTATATTGTCTTGCATCTGTAAAGCACTTTGAATTGCCTTGTGTATGACTGGTGCTATACAAATAAACTTCCCATGCTTTTAATGCAGTTCCCCCAAAACGATATATGCAACTCCATGACTTCAAACACTCTGCTCTCACAAACTCTCCATGGTGACAGCCGATAGCGCCCACAAAATCCTCCTTTAAAGAGGGCACCCATTTTCAATTGCGCACACCATGATAGTAGATCACCCGCAACACGCCCGCGAACAGTACATGCAATTTTTTAGTTTGCGCAATTTAGCGCTCACTATTTTGGATCTTAGTAGATCAGGCCCTATATCTCCATATGCGAACCTCAACCAAAACGCCACTCCATAGCCACAAACAACTCTCAAAACAGCACTTAACTTCATCAACAGTACATATAGGGTCCCAGCCAAAGTACTAGCCACCAAACATCTTATAAGCTTTGCCTAATTTCTTTAGCAAAGAGACTAAACACAATTTACCCACTCTCCTCCAGCAGCCGCTTGTCTGTGGGGAAGCCATGACGAGTCGATCACCGAGATGAATGTTGCAGTCGGCGTCATTCATCTCTCGAGGGGGTGTCTAACTCAGTGTTATGGTGTGTTTGACCCTAACTTAATTTCATGCCCAAATATCCTTTTAAAGGCTGATGTAAAGATATATGTCTGAAAGTAAAGTGCAGTTTGTATCTTGTTGGTTTGTGATTATTTCAACCAATTAAAAAAGGTAGTGAAGATAAAATTGATCTGATGGTGACAATGGTGGAAGAATTTGTAGATCGACAACAAATTCACTGTAATCTTGGGTTAATACATATCAGCCTCATGATCTTTAAGAATTTTTCCAAAAGATACCATGACATTTTTTAAAACAACCATCTATTGTTTAAGTATTTAATTCCAAACTAAAGTGTTGGATGTGTGGATGGACTGACTGATATTTCCATTACTGAATGTGTGGGTGGCGTCTCGAAAATGATTCAATTGAGCTGCAAAACCACCATTAAAACAGATTGGCAAATTTCCACAGAGACATTGCTTGCATTTACAAACAGACACCCTCACAAGTCATCATTAAAGTACGTAACAGAACAGATCAGGTCTAACGTCAGCATGAGACGATGATTAACTGAGCCTCAGTTGGCGCCTTAACAAAAAAGGAGACAAAAAAAAAAAAACCTTAGCAGCCTTTACTGCCAATTCATGTTCGGCAAGCAGATGATAAAAGGAGCTTGGTCGACTACATTTTTCACCTACCCACTCAGACACTGTGAAATTTAATGTCTGAAACCAACCAGGAAAATCAGACGAGCACAGAGTCACACAGACACTTAAAGTTCCACCCATCCATCATTTCGCTACCATCTACTCTCTCCGAGCTGTCGTGATTGAAATATAGGTTTAATGCCTTTATGACAGCTATAGTATAAAAAAGAGAAAAAAAAAAAACCCTTTAGATTAATAACTGTGTCTGCAGTGTTCGGTACAGGAGTCATATAGTGTGCTGATGCAAGTGGAAAAACTGCCTGAGTGTAGAGTGTGACTCTATAGAGGAGTTGCTGCAGTTCTCAGGTTTTCAAACTGTTAACTGCCTCAATAATTTGAACCCTTGTGCAGATACACTGCAGCAGACAGATACTTTTAGAGTGTGTCTTTTCATATCTTTGATTTCTTTACTGGAGTTTGGTTGAGTGAGGACTGTTCAAACGTTCAACATCCTTTCGGCTCAGTGCTCCTCCAGTCTGCTGCATCAAAAAAGAAGCAGACGTTGGTCCAGATTACATCTACATTACAGCGTTAGAGCTGCTGCGCTCTTTACCCTGAGGTACTTGCTCATCTCTGTCACCAGAAGATTAGATGTGGACACAGGCTGTATGAAAACACTGAAGCTGAGCGGGAAATAGAATTACAAGTTTTTCCAACCCCGAGGGTGAAAACCTTCATTTTTTTTCTGCTCCTGTCTTGGTGTAATAACTTAGAGAACCTAATTTCGGAGCAAAAGTCAAACTAGAGAAGGTTCAGTGTAATTTCCTATACTTGAAATTGTTCTTCAATATGGACCAGAAAATGAAATTTGATGAATAATATTACCTTCTTTTTTTTCTACATCTCAGGGTTATTAAAAAGGCCCCGGGTCATTGACACAGACAGGCTATGCTTAGTGATCTTTATTCTTGGTCACTATGCTTGCCAGAATCGCCACTTAAATCATGAAGCTTTTGCTCTGAATGAGGTCAGGGCTCTTCATCCAGAGGTATACTTAGTCCTTGTGTTATCTTTTATCAAACCTCATACACCACAGAAAGCTTCAAACTAAAGTAAACACAGCAACAGCATGTTTGAATCACCTTAAAAACAAGCCCAGATGCTTTCTGAGTGCGCTGAAATAATCATATCTACGCTGTAAAATGTGACAGTAAATGGCACAACAGAGATAGGAAACTGATTATAGCATGAATCTAAACTAGTTTAGATTTTTAAATGGAGCTTTCAATAAGTCATCAAATAATGCTGAATGTAGCTTTAATTTCTGGGCTGCTCAAGCAATCGGTAAAGGAGTTTGTAACAACTGACATACGGATACACATGAATGCTTGTTGACATGTATACTACTGTAAGGGAAGATTCTGCTCATATTTTCCAACTCTCAATTTACCGGTCAATCTACATGCTGACCCTCACCTATGGTCATGAACTTTGGGTAATGACGGAAAGAACAAGATCGCAGATACAAGCGACCGAAATGGTTTTCTTCCGCAGGGTGGCCGGGCTCAGCCTTAGAGATAGGGTAAGGAGCTCAGACACTCAGGAGGCGCTCAAAGTAGAACCGCTGCTCTTTCATATCGAGAGGAGTCAGCTAATAAATAAACCTTTGATTCCTCTAAAAGCTGCATCCCCAATAATCATTGAGATTTCCAACAATATACTACACACATAGAGAGAAGATACTCAACCCCAAAGATAAATATTGAACCAGAGACAGTTCAAAACATGGTGAGCAGGTGGACTGTAGCAACATGCAGGACGAGAATGATGTCATTTTATGATCATGAGAATTAAAGGTACAGTCACAACAACTTCATCCATGTTAAAATACTTTAAAGGTGCAATACAGAGAGACATACACCTTTAAGAAAAGTCACTGCAGAGGGAGTGTAGTTTTCTTTTTATTACTCTAACTTCCTTGTACTACTTCCTTGTTCTACTCTTGGTGACTCGCACCTGCACTGCTTGATGTGTTTATTTACAGGTATGAAGGTGTTTGCTTATCTGTAGATTTAAATTTAAAAAGTGATTGTGAGACTATAGCATTTGATCAGAAGAACAGTGTTTTACTTTACAGTAAACGTAATCAGTTCAAGAACAAGTATAAGACAAGCCTAGATGTGACAAGTTTGGATGGTTTAGGTGGAGCTTTTGCTCCAGATTCAGGTGGAAAAGAAAAAAAGGCAGAGGTACAAAGCAGATCTGTTTAGAGTTTGAAAATAGTTGGTATAAATTCAGTGATGGGATAGAAAAGGTGTTACAGGTGACTTGGATATGCAGGGGGAAAAAAACGAGGGCAGCTTGTGGGTGGTTGCCAAAAGGCAAGTATGGAGACGATCTTGAAGATGCAAGATGTGCAAAGGAATGAAGAAAGAGTGACGTAATGGAAAAAGAAAGAAAGAAAAAAGATAAAAAAATAAAGTTAGACTTTTGAATTGAGAGAATTCTGTTTTGTTTCCAGAGCTGTGCACATGGAAAGGTCACCACAGACGACTTATCTGTTATTTGTGTTTTTAATGTAAAAATACACCATGAAATTCAGTTTATGTATACCTGCTGTACTGTATAGGAGACAGATTTGATAAAATAAGATGACACTGATCCCAAAGGAGAAAACTCAGTTGTTGCAGCACTGCAGACATGGAAAGCTAGAAAGGATACAATATGAGCTGGGAAAGTAGATTTAAATATCATATAATGATGTACTCAATTTATATACTTAAATCTGGACTGTGATGATAAGTTGTGTACTTGTATTTTTACTAGATATCCAGTGAATTTATTCCTCTCTTTTGTCTCTTTAGGTAATGGAGGAAGTTAAATGCATTGAGAGCGCTGAAATCCAACCATCTCCATCCAGCATTGTTCCTCCTCCGCTGAGGGATGGTGAGTGTTACCATGTCTTCATCAGCTACAGCAGCACTGACTACCAGTGGACCCACTCCCTCATTGAGCAGCTGGAGTCCTGCGGCCTGCAGGTCTGCTACCATGAGCGTGACTTCACTCCAGGACGCACCGTGTTGGAGAACATGTCAGACTGCATCCAGGAGAGCCAGAAAGTCCTGCTGGTCCTCAGTCCAGAGTTTGTGAGGAGCCGCTGGTGTCTCCTGGAGGCCAACATGTCTCTGTTCAGGGACTGCCTGGAGAGGAAGCCAATAGTTCCAGTGCTGCTGGAGCCTGGAGTCTCTATTCCTCTCCACCTCTGCCACCTCACCTACCTGGAGGTCAACGACCCTGACTTTAAGAGTAAACTGCTCAAGGTGCTCTGCACCCCCAACCAACAGCTGCAGGGCTCCACTGTGGTTCCGTTCCAGCCTCCCTCCATCTACAACGGGAAGGCCCTGCAGCCTTTGTCTGCTGTCAATAATGAAAGAATGAACAAATGGTAATCAGGTCTGTTCAGTGACATGGAGGTTCCAGACCAACTGCGCCTGATCATTGAGGACCACAACAAGTACAGAGAGGCTGTGAGGATCATCAACAGTGTCTCTGAAAACAAAGTGTGGTTGCGCCCACTCTGGCTCAGAACTTTAATCTATGTGATTGGTGTGTTTTTTTCTCTAATCTTTTTAGGCTCTTTAATGTATTTAACAGCGGCGGCCTTTAACCCTGATGATCCAGATCCTGGCATTAAATATGTTAAAGTAATGATCTTTTTTTTTATTTGCCAGTACAATTGTCCGGTCGGTTTTCTGATTCAGCTTGGTCTCTGGATGATGGATAGTCAGAAGTTCATTTTGAAGGAGATGCAGAAAGCTGTAGGCAGAGCAAACATGATCCTCTTTGAGGAGAAAGTGTTAATGGGATGTATGTCCACTTCTACAATCTATCTGGTGTATGTTTCTCTGGACAGGTGTAAACAAGAGTTTGCAGAAACATTTTCTGAGCAGGATGTTGCTGAGGAGATGTTTCAGAGAGCTATAATGTTCTTCTCATCAGGTTACACCTGCTGCCTTGCTAAAAGGCACTTTCCCTTTACCCAGCCCAGCTCCACTGGTCACCTGGAGGGAGGAGTGTGTTTCTGTCAGTATGTCTCCCAGCAGCTGAGTACAGAGACATGGGAGTAGGACAAACAGGAAGGATTTCAGTTTAAGGTTTTTTAGTTCTAGGGCCAGTTTTAAGTTCTTATGATGCCTTTTATCAGCATTTTTATCAGGAATGGACCTGAATAATATCATTCACAATAATAAGTGCTTAAAAAAACATTGTTTTTCCTTACATTGCCAGTATGTGATCAAGCAGCTGATCTGATGAGAGATAAAGGAAAAATACCTGACATAAAAAAGTGTTCTTGCTGATTAAACCCTGTTAGAAGACTGATCCCGCTCAGATGACCAAATTATGAATACTGCAGCCTCTGTAGAAGGATATATTTTAGCACTACAACTTTGAACGAGTCACTGTTTCAGCTTTTTTTTTAATCACTGTTGTATTTTTAATGATGACACTGCCCCTTTAACACACCTTGAAAAAAAAAAAGGATAGGTGAGGGTGCTCTCAAGTTTCTGTTTCCTAAGTTTCTCTTTTGCTCAGTGACTCACTGTGTTCGCTACTCTTTTTCCTCCCTGTTCATGAAAAGGTATGGACATAAAATGACTGTAGTTTTAAGATTGTTTTAGTTTTTATTCTTATGAAGGATAAAGGATACTGTTGTTGTCTTTGTTTGCAGAATTTGTGGTACATAAAAAGCTGTAACTGCAGAAAACTGTCCAAGAGCTTTTTGCCAATATTTAACTTTCTTGCCCTTTTTGTCACTGCACTCGTGGTTTTTGTAAAAGTGACTCTGGTGTGCCACAAACCTGAATCTCTGAGAAAATAAACTGTTATGACAAATGTGTGGGAGCGGAGAACTTAATGTCTGAGTTTAAATTGACTAAAAATGTTTTGTAAATAATCTGCAGATCTGATCAAGACAGAAATATTCATCAGAGGTAAAAAGAAAAGTTTTTTATCTCAATTGCACTTTTATTAAACAAGAACCTGTGTTTTTTTGTTTAAAAGAGTCAAAATAACTCTAAAAGAAAGAGAAAGAGGATTATTCAAGATTATTACGCCTCCCATTAGAGGTGTTCCTGACATGTCCTACCGGGAGGAGACCTCATGGCCAGCCCGGGACCGGGTGGAGGGATTGTCTGTCTGGGCCTCCCTCCTGAAGCTGCTGCCCCCACGACCCGGACCAGGATAAGCAGAAGAAAACGACGACCACTTTAAAAGATCTACAATTTGAAATGCATGTAAATCAGAGCCTACAATTCGAGTTGCTAGAATATGGCAGCGATGCCTTAAAAATAGAATAAATGCAGATTATTATGATCAATTTCCACTTTTATATAAAATGATAGTGATTCAGTTTACAAATATGATTTAAACCAGGACAGGTATTATTCAGTGTTAATAAATAAACCTTTGATTCCTCTAAAAGCTGCATCCCCAATAATCATTGAGATTTCCAACAATATACTAAACACATAGAGAGAAGATACTCAACCCCAAAGATAAATATTGAACCAGAAACAGTTCAAAACATGGTGAGCAGGTGGACTGTAGCAACATGCAGGACGAGAATGATGTCATTTGATGATCATGAGAATTAAAGGTACAGTCACAACAACTTCATCCATGTTAAAATACTTTATAGGTGCAATACAGAGAGACATACACCTTTAAGAAAAGTCACTGTAGAGGGAGTGTAGTTTTCTTTTTATTACTCTAACTTCCTTGTACTACTTCCTTGTTCTACTCTTGGTGACTCGCATCTGCACTGCTTGATGTGTTTATTTAAAGGTATGAAGGTGTTTGCTTATCCTTAGATTTAAATTTAAAAAGTGATTGTGAGACTGTAGCATTTGATCAGAAGAACAGTGTTTTACTTTACAGAGCAGTTATTAAATATATTGCACAGTATGTGGTTGATACAGAAAATGGACAAGCTCAAGTAAACGTTATCAGTTCAAGAATAAGTATAGGACAAGCCTAGACATGACAAGTTAACACAAGGTACAAAGTTTGGATGGTTTAGGTGGAGCTTTTGCTCCAGATTCAGGTGGGGGAAAAAAGGCAGAAGTACAAAGCAGATCTGATTAGAGTTTGAAAATGGTTGGTATAAATTCAGTGACAGGATAGAAAAGGTGTTATAGGTCACTGGGATATGCAGGGGGAAAAAAACGAGGGCAGCTTGTGGGTGGTTGCCAAAAGGCAAGTATGGAGACGATCTTGAAAATGCAGGATTTGCAAAGAAAAGAAGAAAGAGTGACGTAATGGAAAAAGAAAGAAAGAAAAAACATGAAAAAATGAAGTTAGACTTTTGGATTGAGAGAATTCTGTTTTGTTTCCAGAGCTGTGCACATGGAAAGGTCACCACAGACGACTTATCTGTTATTTGTGTTTTCAATGTAAGAATAAACCATGAAATTCAGTTTATGTATACCTGCTGTACTGTATAGGAGACAGATTTGATAAAATAAGATGACACTGATCCCAAAGGAGAAAACTCAGTTGTTGCAGCACTGCAGACATGGAAAGCTAGAAAGGATACAATATGAGCTGGGAAAGTAGATTTAAATATCATGTAATGATTTACTCAATTTATGTACTTAAAATCTGGACTGTGATGATAAGTTGTGTAATTGTATTTTTACTAGATATCCAGTGAATTTATTCCTCTCTTTTGTCTCTTTAGGTAATGGAGGAAGTTAAATGCATTGAGAGCGCTGAAATCCAACCATCTCCATCCAGCATTGTTCCTCCTCCGCTGAGGGATGGTGAGTGTTACCATGTCTTCATCAGCTACAGCAGCACTGACTACCAGTGGACCCACTCCCTCATTGAGCAGCTGGAGTCCTGCGGCCTGCAGGTCTGCTACCATGAGCGTGACTTCACTCCAGGACGCACCGTGTTGGAGAACATGTCAGACTGCATCCAGGAGAGCCAGAAAGTCCTGCTGGTCCTCAGTCCAGAGTTTGTGAGGAGCCGCTGGTGTCTCCTGGAGGCCAACATGTCTCTGTTCAGGGACTGCCTGGAGAGGAAGCCAATAGTTCCAGTGCTGCTGGAGCCTGGAGTCTCTATTCCTCTCCACCTCTGCCACCTCACCTACCTGGAGGTCAACGACCCTGACTTTAAGAGTAAGCTGCTCAAGGTGCTCTGCACCCCCAACCAACAGCTGCAGGGCTCCACTGTGGTTCCCTTCCAGCCTCCCTCCATCTACAACGGGAAGGCCCTGCAGCCTTTGTCTGCTGTCAATAATGAAAGACTGAACAAATGGGAATCAGGTCTGTTCAGTGAGATGGAGGTTCCAGACCAACTGCGCCTGATCATTGAGGACCACAACAAGTACAGAGAGGCTGTGAGGATCATCAACAGTGTCTCTCAAAATAGAGTGTACACTGTCTGGACTAGATCACTTATGTTATTTATTGGTTTTATGGTATTTGGTCTCACATGGTTCGCTTCTGTTTTTTTGACAATATGGGCAGCTACTCATAATGATGGACATAACAAAACAGAACTTTGGGTGCGTATTGTCCCCTTTCTGTACTTAGTTTCAATAGGATTGATTATGCCGTTATCTTTGTGGAAAAAGGATGAAAGAAAATACACAGTTAAGGAGATGCAGAAAGCTGCAGGCAGAGCAAACATGATCCTCTTTGAGGAGAAAGTGTTAATGGGATGTATGTCTAATTCCCAAATCTTTCTGGTGTATGTTTCTCTGGACAGGTGTAAACAAGAGTTTGCAGAAACATTTTCTGAGCAGGATGTTGCTGAGGAGATGTTTCAGAGAGCTATACTGTTCTTCTCATCAGGTTACACCTGCTGCCTTGCTAAAAGGCACTTTCCCTTTATCCAGCCCAGCTCCACTGGTCACCTGGAGGGAGGAGTGTGTTTCTGTCAGTATGTCTCCCAGCAGCTGAGTACAGAGACATGGGAGTAGGAGAAACAGGAAGGATTTCAGTTATAGGGCCAGTTTTAAGTTCTTGTGATGCCTTTTATCAGCAATTTCATCAGGAATGGACCTGAATAATATCATTCACAATAATAGTGCACAATTTTTTGTTCCTCCTCATTCTTTGTATTAATTTTCTGTTCTTTTATGTTCTACTTCCTCATGAAATTCTGTGTACAATGGTAGACCATGAAAATTTTACATTTATGAGTAAACTAAAGTAGTCCAGATTTCTATGTTGTGATGACTCATGTCAACCACTTTTACTCAGCAGGGCATTTTATGGTGCCGATTGTATTCATGCCAGTATGTGATCAAACAGCTGATCTGTGGAGAGATGAAGGAAAAAATATCGAACATGAGAAAGAAAAAGTGTTCTTGTTGATTAAACCCTGTAAGAAGACTGGTCCTGCTCAGATGACCAAATTATGAATACTACAGCCTCTGTAGAAGGATATATTTTAGCACTACAACTTTGAACGTGTCAATGTTTTGACTTGTTTTCGAATCAATGTTGTATTTTTAATGATGACACTGCCCCTTTAACACACCTTGAAAAAAAAAAAGGATAGGTGAGGGTGCTCTCAAGTTTCTGTTTCCTAAGTTTCTCTTTTGCTCAGTGACTCACTGTGATCGCTACTGTTTTTCTTCCCTGTACATGAAAAGGTATGGACATAAAATGACTGTATTTTTAAGATTGTTTTAGTTTTTATTCTTATGAAGGATAAAGGATACTGTTGTTGTCTTTGCAAAATCTGTGGTACATAAAAAGCTGTAACTGCAGAAAACTGTCCAAGAGCTTTTTGCCAATAATTAACTTTCTTGCCCTTTTTGTCAATGTACTTGTAGTTTTTGTAAAAGTGACTCTGGTGTGCCACAAACCTGAATCTCTTAGACAATAAACTGTTCTGACAAATGTGTGGGAGTGGAGAACTTAATGTCTGAGTTTAAATTGACTGAAGATGTTTTGTTAATATTCTGCAGATCTGATCAAGATAGAAACATTCAACAGAGATAAAAAAGAAAAGAACAAGTTTTTAATCTTAATTGCACTTTTAACTAGTCATGTGTTTTCTGATTAACCAAGTCAAAATAACTCTAAAAGAGAGAGAGAAAGAGAAAGGATTATTTACTGAAAGCCATTAGGGCTGGGGCGATACGTAGATTCAAAAAACAAGCGTCAACACGTCGCATGATGACGTAGACAATGGCTACTTCAGGTAAAGGTGGAAGCATGGACGGCAAACGAGCTCCACCTAATGCGGTCGATTTAAAACCTACTTTAGCATGATCTATGAACAGCCCTTCTTGATCAATGCTTTTGTTCTTCATGGCTTCCTCATTCACATTTCCAAGCTCGCGCTGCTTTCATTCAAGTAGACATGTACTGACCTGTCAATCAAATAACCGGCCGCTGGTGCAGCAAATGCCACAATGAATGCTGCATCATACACTCTGCATCCCATGTCTGATTCATTCACTTTAAGATGTTAGCTTGGAGTTGAAACATCATTTTGTGCTTTTATTTGTCCTAGAATCCATAAAATTGTTTAAAAAAACTGTGTGGGAATTGGACCAGTGCAAAAGTCTCCAGTGTTTCCTCGGGTAAATCCAGTGATCCAGGTGTGTTGGCAGTTAAAATCTATTGAGATAAAAGACTGGGTCTGATGTTGTCGATTTTACTTCTGAAGTGGTCTACAAACTCCTCACAAAGGGTATCAGAGGATGACCCAGGGGTTCTGTTAAAATCATTGTTTGTTAAAGATCAATTGTAGTAAAAAGAAATCTGGGGTTATGTTTATTGTCAGTGATAAGTTTTTTGTAGTGGGAAGTTCTGGCCTTTTTGACTGCGCTATTGAAGGTTTTGAGGTGGTGTTTAAAAATTTCAAGGTGGACCGTTAATTTAGATTTCCTCCATGTCCTTTCAGCACTCCTGCAATTGCGTTAGAGCTGCTTGATATGCTCATTTCTCCATGGGGGTCTTGCTTTTTTCTTGATTGTTTCAGTTAAAAGTGGAGCAACTGAGTCCAGTCTTGAGCTTAGATTGTTGTTAAAATTGTCAACGATAAAATCACAGGATGCTGGTAAAATTTATGAAGAGGTGTTCTGTAGGATGTGAATAAAATTTGCAGCCACTTCAGAAGTTAGGTAGTGTTTCCTCACTGTTCTGACTGGGTTCCCCCTCTGGTTAAAAATGCTGATTGAAAAAAACACACAAAAATGGTCAGACACAGCCAGATCCACAACAGAGGGCACACCGACGGACAGGCCATAGCTTATGACCAGGTCCAGCATGCGCCCTCTGCTGTGGGTCAGCTGTGTCACATGCTGCTGAAAAAAATGTTCTTCCTTAAGCTGCGTCACCCCACTGTAATTCGTAATGGATTGGCCGGAGGTCTCGCTACAAACAAGTGGCTGCTGGAAGAGAGACGGTGAGTTGTGTTTAGTCTCTTTGCTAAAGAAATCAGGCAAAGTTAAAAAGATGTTTGGGGGCTAGTGCTGTGGCTGGGACCCTATATGTACTGTTGATGAAGTTAGGTGCTGTTCTGAGCATTATTTTTGGCTATAGAGTGGCGTTTTGGTTGCGGTTTGTGTGTGGCTACTCACACCGCTGTGTATTGCTATCGTGCGGTCGTTACTAAAGTTGGTTTAACTAGAGAAGCAAGATACACTTTAAATTTCCTTCAGCGAACCTTCTCAAAAGGATCAATAAAGTTTTATCCAATCTAATCCAATTTACGACCCAGTTTAAAAGATGGGTTTGATCAGTCTTGGGATGGTAATAAAGGTGAGTTAGCATAAACAATCCAAAGCGTTAGCTTGTTAACAGGAAGAGGATTTTTTTTTTTCAAAGATGATTCAAGTCATATTTCTTTATCTCAGATTTGGATCGCAGAGTCACAAAGCTGCTCTGACCAAAGGTATTTTGGAATTGGCTGATATTGATGTGATGGTAAGACAGTTGGTGTGTTCAGCTAATCGTTTATGGACTTACTGTAATATTCAGTTTCAAACATGCCTGCAAATCTATATGGTAAAGGAACAAACAAGACCTGAGCAACCACTCAAGATTTACTCGGTTCTGACATCAGCAATTTCTGCATGTACTTGAAAGAGAATAACCCCAAGAGTTTGGGTGTACCATCAGCCAGGACACAAAATCCATTTCCAGGTCCAAATGTTTTTTGTTTACACTTCGTCACTCCTGCTCTTTGTGAGGACTTACGTGTGGGAAAAAATGCAAAATAAAAAATACATAGTTAGCAACATGATATGAGCTAATCTACGGAATCCTTCATGCAACACTAGAAGATTAAAATACCACAAGACACTTAAGCTTGGCTGAAAATGGTACTGCTGAGCTAAATGACCCCAGTCACTTTAAAAAAGCTGAAATTCCTCTCAAGGGGAGCATGTCAGACTGCATCCAGGAGAGCCAGAAAGTCCTGCTGGTCCTCAGTCCAGAGTTTGTGAGGAGCCGCTGGTGTCTCCTGGAGGCCAACATGTCTCTGTTCAGGGACTGCCTGGAAAGGAAGCCAATAGTTCCAGTGCTGCTGGAGCCTGGAGTCTCTATTCCTCTCCACCTCTGCCACCTCACCTACCTGGAGGTCAACGACCCTGACTTTAAGAGTAAGCTGCTCAAGGTGCTCTGCACCCCCAACCAACAGCTGCAGGGCTCCACTGTGGTTCCCTTCCAGCCTCCCTCCATCTACAACGGGAAGGCCCTGCAGCCTTTGTCTGCTGTCAATAATGAAAGACTGAACAAATGGGAATCAGGTCTGTTCAGTGACATGGAGGTTCCAGACCAACTGCGCCTGATCATTGAGGACCACAACAAGTACAGAGAGGCTGTGAGGATCATCAACAGTGTCTCTCAATACAAAGTGTCGCTGCGCCCACTCTGGGTTAGAAATGTTATGTATGTGATTGGTGTGTGTTTGTTCCTACTCTTTTTAACCTTTAATTGGTGTTTACTGTCAGTGTACTCTGTAACTAATGATCCAAATCTTGGTGCAAGATCTCCAGTAATGATCCTTTTTATCATTTGCCTGTACATTAGTCCTGTGGGTATTCTAATTCAGCTTTGTCTCTGGACGAGGGATAGTAAGAAGCACATTTTGAAGGAAATGCAGAAAGCTGTAGGCAGAGCAAACATGATCCTTTTTGAGGACAAAGTGTTAATGGGATGTATGTCCACTTCTACAATCAATCTTGTGTATGTTTCTCTGGACAGGTGTAAACAAGAGTTTGCAGAAACATTTTCTGAGCAGGATGTTGCTGAGGAGATGTTTCAGAGAGCTATAATATTCTTCTCATCAGGTTACACCTGCTGCCTTGCTAAAAGGCACTTTCTCTTTACCCAGCCCAGCTCCACTGGTCACCTGGAGGGAGGAGTGTGTTTCTGTCAGTATGTCTCCCAGCAGCTGAGTACAGAGACATGGGAGTAGGAAAAACAGTTTTGATCAGGATGGACCTGAATAATATCATTCAGAATAAGTAGTGAGTCAAAAAAAAAAAACATTCTTTTTCCTCCTCATTCTTTTTATTAATTTTCTGTTCCTTTATGTTCTACTCCCTAAAGAAATTCTGTGTACAATGGTAGACCATGAAATTTTTACATTAATTAGTAAAGTTGTAGTCCAGATTTCTATGTTGTGATGACTCATGTCAACCACTTTTACTCAGCATTTTATGGTGCCGATTGTATTCATGCCAGTATGTGATCAAGCAGCTGATCTGATGAGAGATAAAGGAAAAATACCTGACATAAAAAAAGTGTTCTTGCTGATTAAACCTTGTTAGAAGACTGGTCCCACTCAGATGACCAAAATATATGTATGATGGCCTCTGTAGAAGGATATATTTTAGCACTACAACTTTGAACATGTCTCTGTTTCAGCTTTTTTTTTTAATCACTGTTGTATTTTTAATGATGACACTGCCCCTTTAACAAACCTCTGAAAAAAGGAAAAGTGAGGGTGCTCTCAAGTTTCTGTTTCCTAAGTTTCTCTTTTGCTCAGTGACTCACTGTGATCACTACTCTTTTTCCTCCCTGTACATGAAAAGGTATGGACATAAAATCCCTGTATTTTTAAGATTGTTTTAGTTTTTATTCTTATGAAGGATAAAGGATACTGTTGTTGTCTTTGTTTGCAGAATTTGTGGTACATAGAAAGCTGTAACTGCAGAAAACTGTCAAAGAGCTTTTTGCCAATATTTAACTTTCTTGCCCTTTTTGTCACCGCACATGTGGTTTTTGTAAAAGTGACTCTGGTATGCCACAAACCTGAATCTCTTAGAAAATAAACTGTTATGACAAACGTGTGGGAGTGGAGAACTCAATGTCTGAGTTTAAATTGACTAAAAATGTTTTGTTAATAATCTGCAGATCTGATCAAGACAGAAATATTCATCAGAGGTAAAAAGACAAAAAGTCTTTTATCTCAATTGCATTTTTATTAAACAAAAACCTGTGTTTTTTGTTTAAAAGAGTCAAAATAACTCTAAAAGAGAGAGAAAGAGGATTATTCACTGAAAGCTATTTATGTTTATGGTTAAGAATGATGTGAAGTTTCAAAGAAGCAATCAGAAGATCCAGGAAGTGAACAACGTTAAAGCCCCCGAGAAAAACTTTCTGGCAGTGTGGATTTTGGCAGCTACTGTAGAGAAAGGGGTATTTCTTATCGCTTTGTTTATCTTGTCATGGACAGTCGTGTTTTCTACATAACTGTATATACTATGGACAACTTGGTTCCGCCTTCCGCCAGTATACAGATTTGAGGCCAAAAAGCTCTCAGTATTCCCGTTTTTTTTTCCTCAACCTCCTGAAACCAACATTGCACAGTATTGTTGTATGCTTTCGGCGGGAGAGTCGCTGAGAGCTGCTGTGATGACGCTCGGCTCAAACAGTGTATCCCCTGGGTAAGCTATGCAATCCTTGTACGCCCATAGGCTGTATCAAGTGTCAATCATAGAAAACATGAACCCCCTAATAATTTAAAAAAATGGAACTGTAGAGAAAAAAAAGAGGACTTGAGGACAAACCAGTCTGACAATAACTATATGTCATCATTACAAGCGAGGGGGAGAAAAATTCATATTCTGTGTAATTAATTCCTAAAGTTTGTCTACAACTCCATTAATTTCGCTGGAGGAGGTGGGATTTATGACCTGTACTGCAGCCCGTCACCAGAGGGTGCTGTTCTCACAGTGGCTTCACCCAGCAAGGAGACAGACGGCGTCCATTCTATATACAGTCTATGATTTTCTAACAAAGGATATCATCCTGCATCTATCCTTTAAACTGTCAAACACTCTGGTTTGTTGGTTAAGTTGGTTCAATTGGTTTCTTCAGCTTGCAGTCAATCAAGTAGTCTGACATCTACCCTCAAAGCAGTCTCAGACCTTAGATTTTTTACGATAACTTTAAATGCTGATGGTCCTGTTTGCATTTGTAGATTATAAGGAGTCATAACTGTTAATCCCATCCTGCAGTTTAGTCTGAAACTATGATCTTTTTTTGTACAAATCTGATCTTGCCTCTAAACTTTTGGCCTGTAGTGTATATATCACCAAAAACGAGTGGTGTTAAAACAAATAAAAAATACACTTTCCCCGCTCTTTGAAACATTAAGGAAGGACTAATCAATATTTTTTTGAAGTAGCATAGGTCATTTAAACATAATGAATAGGTTTGGGGTTAGAACTTTGGTGAAAATACTTGCTACATGGACAATTCTTGGGCTGGGTCAATTTTGAAAAGGATACATCCCAGAAAAGGTGAGGATACAGGATTTGAAAAGAATGTGAGAGTTAAAAGAGCTGAAATTCCTCTCAAGGGGAGCATATGGTTATGTTGAATGTCATAGTAAGTTGTGTCCTTGATTTTATGATTAATGTCTGATAAATGTCTTTTTCACTCTCTTCTCTTTAAGTAATGGAGGAAATTAAATCCTTTGAAACTACAGAAATTCAGCCACAGCCCTCTGGCCCTCTGTCTCCACTAATCTACACTCCTTCTCCGCTGAGGGATGGTGAGTGTTACCATGTCTTCATCAGCTACAGCAGCACTGACTACCAGTGGACCCACTCCCTCATTGAGCAGCTGGAGTCCTGCGGCCTGCAGGTCTGCTACCATGAGCGTGACTTCACTCCAGGACGCACCGTGTTGGAGAACATGTCAGACTGCATCCAGGAGAGCCAGAAAGTCCTGCTGGTCCTCAGTCCAGAGTTTGTGAGGAGCCGCTGGTGTCTCCTGGAGGCCAACATGTCTCTGTTCAGGGACTGCCTGGAGAGGAAGCCAATAGTTCCAGTGCTGCTGGAGCCTGGAGTCTCTATTCCTCTCCACCTCTGCCACCTCACCTACCTGGAGGTCAACGACCCTGACTTTAAGAGTAAGCTGCTCAAGGTGCTCTGCACCCCCAACCAACAGCTGCAGGGCTCCACTGTGGTTCCCTTCCAGCCTCCCTCCATCTACAACGGGAAGGCCCTGCAGCCTTTGAAGGCTGTCAATAATGAAAGAATGAACAAATGGGAATCAGGTCTGTTCAGTGACATGGAGGTTCCAGACCAACTGCGCCTGATCATTGAGGACCACAACAAGTACAGAGAGGCTGTGAGGATCATCAACAGTGTCTCTGAAAACAAAGTTTGGTTGCGCCCACTCTGGCTTAGAGTTCTATTTTACCTTTTTGGCATTTTATTTTTCTTAAATTTGGTAGCATTTTTAATATATTCATCAGCAGTGTTCTTTAACACTGATATTCCATATATTGACCTAAGCAATGTTGGAGCATTGGTTCTCTTTTTTATTTGCCTCTTCAGTAGTCCTGTGGGTTTTCTTATTCAGCTTGGTCTCTGGATGATGGATAGTAAGAAGTTCATTTTGAAGGAGATGCAGAAAGCTGTAGGCAGAGCAAACATGATCCTCTTTGAGGACAAAGTGTTAATGGGATGTCGGTCCAATTCCAAAATCTATCTTGTGTATGTTTCTCTGGACGGGTGTAAACAAGAGTTTGCAGAAACATTTTCTGAGCAGGATGTTGCTGAGGAGATGTTTCAGAGAGCTATAATGTTCTTCTCATCAGGTTACACCTGCTGCCTTGCTAAAAGACACTTTCCCTTTACCCAGCCCAGCTCCACTGGTCACCTGGAGGGAGGAGTGTGTTTCTGTCAGTATGTCTCCCAGCAGCTGAGTACAGAGACATGGGAGTAGGAAAAACAGGAAGGATTTCAGTTTAAGGATTTCAGTTCTAGGGCCAGTTTTAAGTTCTTATGATGCCTTTTATCAGCAATTTCATCAGGAATGGACCTGAATAATATCATTCACAAAAATAAGTGCTTAAAAAACATTGTTTTTCCTTACATTGCCAGTATGTGTTCAAGCAGCTGATCTGATGAGCGATAAAGGAAAAATACCTGACATAAAGTAAGTAAGTAAGATAAACACCTGACATTAAAAAAGTGTTCTTGCTGATTAAACCCTGTAAGAAGACTGGTCCCGCTCAGATGACCAAATTATGAATACTGCAGCCTCTGTAGAAGGATATATTTTAGCACTACAACTTTGAACGAGTCACTGTTTCAGCTTTTTTTTTTAATCACTGTTGTATTTTTAATGATGACGCTGCCCCTTTAACACACCTTGAAAAAAAAAGAAAAGGTGAGGGTGCTCTCAAGTTTCTGTTCCCTAAATTTCTTTTTTGCTCAGTGACTCACTGTGATCGCTACTCTTTTTCCTCCCTGTTCATGAAAAGGTATGGACATAAAATGACTGTATTTTTAAGATTGTTTTAGTTTTTATTCTTATGAAGGATAAAGGATACTGTTGTTGTCTTTGTTTGCAGAATCTGTGGTACATAAAAAGCTGTAACTGCAGAAAACTGCCCAAGAGCTTTTTGCCAATATTTAACTTTCTTGCCCTTTTTGTCACTGCACTCGTGGTTTTTGTAAAAGTGACTCTGGTGTGCCACAAACCTGAATTTGAAAATAAACTCTTCTAACAGAAGTGTGGGAGCGGAGAACTTAATGTCTGAGTTTAAATTGACTAAAGATGTTTTGTAAATAATCTGCAGATCTGATCGAGATAGAAATATTCAACAGAGGTAAAAAGAGAAGAACAAGTTTTTAATCTCAATTGCACTTTTAACTAGTCATGTGTTTTCTGATTAACCAAGTCAAAATAACTCTAAAAGAGAGAGAAAGAGGATTATTCACTGAAAGCTATTTATGTTTATGGTTAAGAATGATGTGAAGTTTCAAAGAAGCAATCAGAAGATCCAGGAAGTGAACAACGTCAAAGCCCCCGAGAAAAACTTTCTGTGGGTGTGGATTTAGGCAGCTCCTGCAGACAAAGCAGTATTTCTTACTGCTTTGCTTATCCTGCATCTATCCTTTACACAGATAAACACTCTGGTTCGTTGGTTTAGTTGGTTAAATTGGTTTCTTCAGCTTGCTGTCAATCAAGTGGTCTGACACCTACCCCCATAGCAGTTTAGGGCCTTATAAATATTTTACTATAATTGTAAATATGTTGCTGATGGTCCTGTTTGCGTTTGTAGATTATAAGGAGTCATAACTGTTAATCCCATCCTGTATCAAAGCTCAAGGAAGAACATTTATGATCATTTCTTTTTCATTTTCTTGAAGTAATAATCATCATATGAATCATTTTGCACTGAAGACGCAGTAGTTTTTCTGCCATAGTGTCTCGGTCTGATTGCATTTCCATGAAGAAATGATCATCAATGTTCTTCCTTGAGCTGCGTCACCCCACAGCAGTCCGTAATGGACTGGCCGGAGGTCTCGCTACAAACAAGTGGCTGCTGGAAGAGAGTAGGTGAGTTGTGTTTAGTCTGTTTGCTAAAGAAATTAGGCAAAGTTAAAAAGATGTTTGGTGGCTAGTGCTGTGGCTGGGACCCTATATGTACTGTTAATGAAGTTAGGTGCTGATCTGATCATTATTTCAGTCTATAGAGTGGCGTTTTGGTGGAGGTTTGTGTGTGGCTACTCACACCGCTGTGTATTGCTATCCTGCCGTCGTTACTAAAGTTGGTACAACTGGAGAAGCAAGAGGTCGGCAACATCCTCCTCTCATAGGGGGTGTCTAACTCGGTGTTACGGTGTGTTTGACCCTAAATTAATTTTACGCCGGAATATGTCATGACACACTGTCCAATTTTACAGTAGAAAGATACACATTCAAGACACACTTCAAATTTCCTTCAGGGAACCTTCCTGTAAGGATCAATAAAGTTTTATCCAATCCAATCCAATTTATGACCCAGTTTAAAAGATGGGTTTGATCAGTCTTGGGATGGTAATAAAGGTGAGTTAGCATAGACAAGCCAAAGCGTTAGCTTGTTAACAGGAAGAGGCAATTTTTTTCAAAGAAGATTCAAGTCATTTTTCTTTATCTCAGATTTGGATCGCAGAGTCACAAAGCTGCTCTGACCAAAGGTATTTTGGAATTGGCTGATATTGATGTGATGGTAAGACAGTTGGTGTGTTCAGCTAATCGTTTATGGACTTACTGTAATACTCAGTTTCAAACATGCTTGCAAATCTATATGGTAAAGGAACAAACAAGACCTGAGCAACCACTCAAGATTTACTCGATTCTGACATCAGCAATTTCTGAGTGTCCTTGAAAGAGAAAAACCCCAAGAGTTTGGGTGTACCATCAGCCAGGACACAAAATCCATTTCCAGGTCCAAATGTTTTTTGTTTACACTTGCTCACTCCTGCTCTTTGTGAGGACTTACGTGTGGGAAAAAAAGCAAAAAAATAAAAAATACATAGTTAGCAACATGATATGAGCTAATCTACGGAATCCTTCATGCAACACTAGAAGATTAAAATACCACAAGACACTTAAGCTTGGCTTAAAATGGTACTGCTCAGCTAACTGACCCCAGTCACTTTAAAAAAGCTGAAATTCCTCTCAAGGGGAGCATATGGTTATGTTGAATGTCAAAGTAAGTTGTGTCCTTGTTTTTATGATTATTGTCTGATGAATGTATTTCTCTCTCTTCTCTTTAAGTGATGGAGGAAATGACAACCTTTGAAACTACAGAAATTCAGCCACAGCCCCCTGTCCCTCTGTCTCCACTAATCTACACTCCTCCGTTGAGGGATGGTGAGCGTTACCATGTCTTCATCAGCTACAGCAGCACTGACTACCAGTGGACCCACTCCCTCATTGAGCAGCTGGAGTCCTGCGGCCTGCAGGTCTGCTACCATGAGCGTGACTTCACTCCAGGACGCACCGTGTTGGAGAACATGTCAGACTGCATCCAGGAGAGCCAGAAAGTCCTGCTGGTCCTCAGTCCAGAGTTTGTGAGGAGCCGCTGGTGTCTCCTGGAGGCCAACATGTCTCTGTTCAGGGACTGCCTGGAGAGGAAGCCAATAGTTCCAGTGCTGCTGGAGCCTGGAGTCTCTATTCCTCTCCACCTCTGCCACCTCACCTACCTGGAAGTCAATGACCCTGACTTTAAGAGTAAGCTGCTCAAGGTGCTCTGCACCCCCAACCAACAGCTGCAGGGCTCCACTGTGGTTCCCTTCCAGCCTCCCTCCATCTACAACGGGAAGGCCCTGCAGCCTTTGAAGGCTGTCAATAATGAAAGACTGAACCAATGGGAATCAGGTCTGTTCAGTGACATGGAGGTTCCAGACCAACTGCGCCTGATCATTGAGGACCACAACAAGTACAGAGAGGCTGTGAGGATCATCAACAGTGTCTCTGAAAACAAAGTTTGGCTGCGCCCACTCTGGGTTAGAATTTTAATTTATGTGATTAGTGGTTTTTTTTTTCTTATCTTATTAGCCTTTAATGCGTATTTAATGTCAATGTTCTACCACACTGATGATCCATATCTTGGTGCAAAAACTGAAGTGTGGGTCCTTTTTACCATTTGCCTGCACAGTTGTCCAGTGGTTCTTCTAATTCAGCTTTGTCTCTGGACGAGGGATAGTAAGAAACACATTTTGAAGGAGATGCAGAAAGCTGTAGGCAGAGCAAACATGATGCTCTTTGAGGAGAAAGTGTTAATGGGATGTATGTCCACTTCTACAATCAATCTTGTGTATGTTTCTCTGGACAGGTGTAAACAAGAGTTTGCAGAAACATTTTCTGAGCAGGATGTTGCTGAGGAGATGTTTCAGAGAGCTATAATGTTCTTCTCATCAGGGTACACCTGCTGCCTTGCTAAAAGGCACTTTCCCTTTATCCAGCCCAGCTCCACTGGTCACCTGGAGGGAGGAGTGTGTTTCTGTCAGTATGTCTCCCAGCAGCTGAGTACAGAGACATGGGAGTAGGAGAAATGAGCCAGACCTTCAGGGGACCAAAAAACCTTCAATTAGTTTGTGCAAAAAAAAACAAAAAAACCTTTTTGTAACCAGTTCATGGTATTTCAATTTGGCATTAGTATGTTTCTTTTTTTCATCAATTCACCACATATAAATGGACCATTTTAATTTTCCTTGTAACTGTTACATCCACATTTTTTTGCTTTGCTGCATATTGTTAAACATTTTCATCAATTAGTGTTTGATTATTTACACGGACCAGCAGCTGATTAGAGGAGAACTGAAGGTTAAGTTTCGGTTGTTTAAAAACTATTCACTGCTACAGCAATGTAGGGAGATCAGTCAGTCTGAGATAACCAAACTATAACTACAGTAACACTTCACAAGAGGTTATCAGTCAGCTCCATAACTCTGATGTAATCACTGTTATCTTTCTGTTCACCTCAAGTCACTCAGTGAACATCCTAAATCTTCTAATGTCCATCTAGTAAGAGCTATTAAAGGCACAGGCACTTCGTTCATGTTTAAAGGCCTTTCATACTTCAGACCTGACATTGCCCCTTTAACAAAACTGAAAAAAAAAAAGAGAGAGAGAGAGAGAGAGAGAGAGAGAGGGAGAGAGAGAGGGGGGGTGTTTTCCACTTTTTGTTTCCTGTGTTTGGTTTCACTTCTCATGTTGCTCCTCAGTGCGGTCTTTTTACATGTTTTTTTTTCTGAATTTACAGTGTCCTGGACAGGTATGATTAAACACAGCTGTGTGCTATGTGGTTTTATTATGAGTTTTGACTTTTCAGTCCGTAAAAAGAACTTTTCTACACTGTTTTATTGATGTTTTGTCGACCTTATTCAGAGGATGTTTAACTAACCTAACTGTCCTGTAACTTTCTTCACTATCGATCTATACAGATGTTTTTTTACACATTTTATTCTGTTCTCACATCATGTGACTCAATTTATTCAGCTTATGTGTCAACTACAGTGTATTAAACTCAGCACTTTACTGTTGATGGATCTGAACTAAGATAGCAGACTTTGTGCTTTGTCGATTTACCATATTGTTAAAGTGCATCTGAGATTATTTTGCTCTCTTACAAAAAATGTTGACCAGATAGTGTGTAATTACTGATATTTGTTAGTTTCTGTGTTTGCCACAAACCCTAACCTGCTCTACAATTATTCTGTTTGACATGCAGGGCTGGATAAGTTTCAGTCTCTGCTGACTTATGCTGTAGATTTGTAGCCACTGTCTATAAACGACATCCGAGGTTTTAAGAAAATGTTAAAAAAAATAATAAAAATAATAAAAGAAAAAGGTTGCAAACGTCATGATACTCTCAGTCAAGAATGATTGTCCTTCATGGGTTTCTTTTCAGTGACTCAAAACCATGAAAAATGTTTTCTTTGATATATGCTGATGAACCATAGAGAGTGATAATGACAATCAATGAAATGTTTTTCCCCTCTACTTGAATTTAAATAAGTCAATCTGTGTGTAAATATTTTGTCAAATGTGATAACACAGCTCAAAAACACAACTCTGCAAATAAAAACATTATAAGAGTGTTTTATAGTATTTATAGTTATTACCTGATGAATGTATTTCTCTCTCTTCTCTTTAAGTAATGGAGGAAATTAAATCCTTTGAAACTACAGAAATTCAGCCACAGCCCTCTGGCCCTCTGTCTCCACAAATCTACACTCCTCCTCCGCTGAGGGATGGTGAGTGTTACCATGTCTTCATCAGCTACAGCAGCACTGACTACCAGTGGACCCACTCCCTCATTGAGCAGCTGGAGTCCTGCGGCCTGCAGGTCTGCTACCATGAGCGTGACTTCACTCCAGGACGCACCGTGTTGGAGAACATGTCAGACTGCATCCAGGAGAGCCAGAAAGTCCTGCTGGTCCTCAGTCCAGAGTTTGTGAGGAGCCGCTGGTGTCTCCTGGAGGCCAACATGTCTCTGTTCAGGGACTGCCTGGAGAGGAAGCCAATAGTTCCAGTGCTGCTGGAGCCTGGAGTCTCTATTCCTCTCCACCTCTGCCACCTCACCTACCTGGAGGTCAATGACCCTGACTTTAAGAGTAAACTGCTCAAGGTGCTCTGCACCCCCAACCAACAGCTGCAGGGCTCCACTGTGGTTCCCTTCCAGCCTCCCTCCATCTACAACGGGAAGGCCCTGCAGCCTTTGTCTGCTGTCAATAATGAAAGAATGAACAATTGGGAATCAGGTCTGTTCAGTGACATGGAGGTTCCAGACCAACTGCGCCTGATCATTGAGGACCACAACAAGTACAGAGAGGCTGTGAGGATCATCAACAGTGTCTCTGAATACAAAGTGTGGCTGCGCCCACTCTGGCTTAGAGTTTTAATGTATGTGATTGGTGTGTTTTCTTTTCTAATCTTTATAGGCTTTTTAATGTATTTTATGTCAGTGGCCTTTAACCCTGATGATCCATATCTTGGCTTAAATTATATTGAAGTAATGATCTTTTTTTTTATTTGCCAGTACAGCTGTCCCGTGGGTTTTCTTATTCAGCTTTGTCTCTGGATGAGGGATAGTAAGAAACACATTTTGAAGGAGATGCAGAAAGCTGCAGGCAGAGCAAACATGATCCTCTTTGAGGAGAAAGTGTTAATGGGATGTATGTCCACTTCAACAATCTATCTGGTGTATGTTTCTCTGGACGGGTGTAAACAGGAGTTTGCAGAAACATTTTCTGAGCAGGATGTTGCTGAGGAGATGTTTCAGAGAGCTATAATGTTCTTCTCATCAGGTTACACCTGCTGCCTTGCTAAAAGGCACTTTCCCTTTACCCAGCCCAGCTCCACTGGTCACCTGGAGGGAGGAGTGTGTTTCTGTCAGTATGTCTCCCAGCAGCTGAGTACAGAGACGTGGGAGTAGGAGAAACAGGAAGGATTTCAGTTTAAGGATTTCAGTTAAAGAGCCAGTTTTAAGTTCTTATGATGCTTTTTACTTGAGCAATATAATATAATTTGACCATTAAACATTCTGTTTTTATCTAAATTTTATAAGAATTACATCTTATCTGTAATGTTGTTATCCTAGTTTATGTCAACCTTTTAGTTTTGAAGCTTAGATTTTCAACATAAAATATAACAATAACATAATCGTTGCAGTATTTAAGGAAAACTTGACATGAAAAACACATTACTTCATAAAAATGTACGTACACACACAATCAACTTAACCGTCGTCATCCATTTCTAATAATCTTCAAATGTATGTCTTATCCACATCACTGGTCTTGAGACCAAAACTTCTTCTTTGTTCTACTTTTATTTTGATATTTTTCTGTCTTGCAGTCCGGTTGCTTTATATCTTGCATTGTAAGACTTTACTTTTATTTTGAAGTATTGCTCTCCTGGTTGATTGCAAATGACAGAACTGAAAGCAGCTGTAAACAGAACGGTCAGGAAGGACACTGTCCAACTAGTTGGTAACATAAGGGGAACAAGCTCTAATATTGTTTTGGGTTCACAATAAATCTGGGAATGTCAGTTTGGAAAAATGCTTAATCATCTTTTTGAGGGCAAATTTCCACCAGAGTCAGCTAGATGCCATACAAAATGTCCTGGTCTCATGAACTGATTAAAAAACACAATGAGATGTTGTTACTATTTCATTTTTACAAGTATTTTTCATTTCACTTCATGTAGTACGTTCTCAATCCAATCCTGAAATTTGATTTTAAAGGCTGTACTGAAGCTTCAAAACTTCATGCCAAAACTGAAAACATCAAATGTTGCATTGACTTGTCTTTGTGTTCATATTGCAGGGGTGTTGCTAGGAATTCTGGGCCCTATGAGGATATTTCTTCTCTGGCCCCGTCACCACAGCCTAGGCCAACCTTGTACAATAATTAAACCATGTTTCTTTTATTCAAACAATTCAGTTATAGCTTTAAATAGCAATAACTTTGTTTTACAACCCCTAAAGTCAGGAAGAAGCAACCCCAAGAGTAAATGTAATATCTCCACAGCAAGATGGCTGATGTAAAAGTGCCTTTCTGGTAGCGTCTGATCTTTGTTTGTCTCTGTTTGTCAGCCTGCAAACAAATTGTGTTTCTGTGTTGGTTGGTAAGTTTCTCTGACCATAGACCTGAGTCCTCTTGCAAAAACTCAATAAAACTGTTTTCTCTTTCTTCACCTTCGTCTGCTCTCCCTTCATTATTCTCACTTCTCTCTGAATGACCTTCATTTTCCTGCTCTCTTCACTGACTTTATCCTCTAACACATCTTGCTCTTCTCTGTCTGCTCCAAGAGCTGAACCCTCTACAAGCAGAAAGCTGCATTTACTATTTTTTTTAGTTTTCTTTCTCCTGTCTTTATTTTCATTCGTGAAACCCTGGTTTTGCTATCTTTGAGTGGGACATGGTACTACCTGTGGCATCCCTCTCCTTGACTCTATGGACTTTGGTCAGAATGATCCTGTCAATTCTCAGATCAAGAGGGGGGACTTGGTAGTCTGGTAGTTTCTGTTTTACTATGAGAATAACAACGTAGGCAGAAAAAGCGCCCCAAAAATGTAGCTATGCTCTTTATAGTTACCATTTAAAGATTTTTAAAAGACTGATTTCCCGCATGAAATGATACATAAGAAAAGAACGTCATGTATTTTTCTTTTTCTTTATGCACTGTTAGCTCGTGATAACGGCTTATGATCTCATTATCTCGATATAACAAAGATTGTTTTCTCATGATCATGTTTTTTTTTTTTTTTCATTATCTGGGCATAACAAAGATCGTTTTCCTGTGATAATGGAAATTGCGTTCTAGCTTAACTATGGTAACTTTCTAGCTTAACTATAGTAACTTTTAAAAAACGCCCTCCAGATTGGGATATTTCTGAAACGCCGCAGCCACCGTTGTCAACAGTAAGCCGGGGTTTATCATGAAAACGCTGACAACAACAGTGACAATGGCGGACGCATTATTACTTAATCTGTTAACATGAAAAAACTATCTTTATGTCAATATAATGAGATTATAAGTCGTTATCACAAGATAGTGGTGCTTAAAAAAGAAAAACGCATGGCTGCTCTTGTACTCTGTTACATTATCCTCTTTTTTTTAGGTTTATGTGGTCCACATGAATGCCTTTGGTTTCACTCCCTCATTAAGTTCCTTTTTCTGGGGCAAAGGCGTCATAAATCTGACCAGTTACATAATGTTTTAATATGTGTCAGGTCTCCAGCTCAAGACAGCCCGAGGTACAAGATTCTCTTATCTGTTGCCCTTTTGACAAAATTTTGTTGACCTTTCCCACTGATGCCACCTTATCAGAAACAAAGACCTGTCTGAAGCATGTGTACCACCATGTACCACAGAAGAAGAATCAATATTTGCTGTCCTTTACAACACCCAGTAACAGGATTCAGGATATGAAACAAAGTCATGACACGATTGCCTAAAGGGTCCGTGGCAACAAAACCTAACAAACAGTAAAAAGACACAGCTGGGAATATCACCCACACTGATCTTACATGTCAGTGGGGTGACGTCCAGGTCACACTGTACACATTCGGTTCTCACTGTGCGTGATGAAAGGTGGAAATTGCCTCTTACTGCTGAAGTTCAATTAGGATGGATTAAGTGAATGTCTCTCAGTTAGAAAAAAATGGTGCCTCGCTGCCGTAATCATGTTGTGTGCATGCATGCTGAAAGTGTAGCATGACGAGCTAATTGCTTGCAGACGCATAGCAATCATAATGGGAACCATTTGTCTGATCCTCAATAATGACTTTCATGCTTATCTCTTTTTCTTTCCACATTATAGTCGGTGTTTGCATGCTCATATGTGCTTGAAAATGTTCCAAAATGAATGTTTACCCCGGTCTCCAACTGCAGTTGAATGGAAACAAAGCAGCATACACAGCTTGGTTGTCATGCGCTATGTTCCCTGGTGCCGTAAATTGTGCAGTTTTCTGAATTATCCCCCAATACTGCCTCATACTGGCTTCTGTAACTCATTGGCATGTCATGAATTTCAATGGAGTTAATTAAAGCATTCCTCTGCCATGGGGCTCAAGCAAGGAGACATGAAAGAAAAACAGCAGATAGAAAATGACTGTAGCTGTGCTAATAAAATGTTTGACTCAAGCGAATCACTCGGTCTCGCTTTGTTATTATTTAGCTCATTTTCTCTTACGGATCAAGTGTTCACCTACTATGGCAGTTTTGCAGGTGGCTCATCGACGCTGCGGTTTTCCTCCTGTATGAATCACTGTTACAGTCACAGTTTCTATTCTCGCTTTGACACATCATCCATTCACCCTTGAGGAAAAGATCATGCGCATGTCCTGTTGTTTAAACACTGTCAGTTTTTTATCCTCCTTGGAGGAGAGAAGCTGTGCACAGCTTGGGGTCAGATGTGATCTTGGAGCTGTGGATGAATCCCTAACATGCTTTTCATCAAAGGACTTAGACACTATACTGCCTATAGAGCTGCCGCGCCTGGCTGCAAACAAGGGCCATTGGCACTCTCCGTTCCAGTGAAACTTAATGACAACTGGGAGCTGGCTCAAATAAAACATTTTACTGCGAAACAGTTATGTAACTATTGTATCATGGGCAAGCTATTGCAGCTATCATAACCAGCTATTGTGGCGCTCTACAAACCTCCGAGATTCAATGGCTGGAAAGGAACATTTAGCAGTAACATGTTGCTGTTTTTTAGACAAGTAAAATGTCTGAAAACAGGATTTTTCTTTGGCGTTTGAAGTCGTATGGTCTCCAAGGAGAGCTGAGGAGATGTGCTACTCTACTCTACTCGAACTCTACTCAACGCTTTGGAAAAATAACTTCCCAAAGCGTCCATGAGCAATGTCCTGTGGGAAGCTAACTGCAAGTAAATGAGTCACTTAGAATTCATGAAGCATCTCAGATGATTGGTAAAAGAGGAAGCAAAGAGAAAGTCACAGCTTCGAGCTAAAATAGCAAGTCTGTTCAGTCAAAACCTTCTGTTTAAGCAGTTCAGTTTCTGTACAGATGAAACAAATCAAACATGATGATTATTGACATCCTGATCGGAATATTTTGTCACCTTTGGGCACAGCAGTGCTTAACATTTGGGATAGTACAATCCTTTAATCCCAAGTGAGCACAGCCTTATAGAGACAGAACACTTGCAGCAGCACAATGGGCTGTAATCACCATATAATCACCACCCTGAATATGACTTCATAGAAAAAAGATACAACGTGGGATATCATTTTGAAGATGAAACCATGCAGACTTGGTTAGAAAGCTTATTATTTTCCCCTTCAGTTTCATTTTACCTGTTCAAGTATATTAGAGAATATACACGCATGTAAGAATCATTCAGAGGTAGGAACAGTCGATTCAGCCGCTCACAAAGGGATTAATTGTGATAACAGTTACTCAGTTTTTCCCCCTAAAAACTAGTTGAAGTTAAACTTTCAGCTGGATTTTACCCTAAAATAAAGGTTGTATGCAGTGTGCAAGATGCACGGTGGCAGTATGGGGCCCCCTCTATATGGTGCTCCAGTGTTATGTGACAAATCCTGCATTGATTCAACAGCTACCATTGCAACTGTACTGCAGAAGATAACTTTCTGGTCACTTTACCTGTTTACCTCTGTTACCTTGTTTACTTGTACATAGGAGTCAATATTTTTAATTATTTTAATTTTATTTTTATTTAACGGTTATTGTACATAGGATGTATATAGGAGTGGATATTTATCTTACTTCTATTTTTATTTTATCTCTTTCTATATATATTATTTGTTGGCACAATCGCAGACGTCACTTTCATTTCACTACCACTGTACCTGTACATTTAGGCATGTGACAAATTAAACTTGAAACTTGAAATTAAACTGATGCATACACACTTAGCACACACTTTAACAAGCCTGT